ATGGTGAAACCCCATTTCTACTTATAATACCAAAATTAGCTGGGCATGGTGGCTTGCACCTGTAGTCCCAGCTACTTGGAAGGCTGAGGCACAATAATTGCTTGAACCCAGGAGGTGGAGGTTGCAATGAACCGAGATCACACCACCACTGCACTCCAGCCTGGGCGACAGAGTGCGACTCAGTCTCAAAAAAAAAAAAGCACTGAAGCACAGATTGAAGAAACCCAGTTAATTCCAAGTAAGACAAAAAGAAAAAAAATGCATAGTTAAACATATCATAGTAAGGCCAGGTGCAGCCTGGGCAACATAGTGAGACCTCATCTCTACAGAAAATTTAAAAATTAGTTTGGTGTGGTGACGTGCACCTGTAGTCCCAGCTGCTCCTAGCTACTGGAAGGCTAAGGTGGACAGCTTGAACCTGGGAGGTAAGACACCAGTGAGCTATGATCGCACCATTCCACTCCAGCCTAGGCTGCAGAGCTAGACTCTGTCTCAGAAAATAATAATGATTTTCCCCTTCCATGACCTCGTGGAAGCTGTGGTTTCTCTTTTCTATTTTTTTCACCTTTTTCTTTCTCTCTGCCTAAATAAATTACTCTCTGCGAAACTCAAAAATAATAATATTACTTTTTAAAAATTAAGGTAATAGGATAAATCAATGAAAGCTTTGTTAACAATTCAAAAACAGATTGTACAAGTTTCAAGACAACCCAAAACTGTTTTTCAAAGAAACAAGCAATGTGAATAGTTTTAAGACTGCTCATTAAACAATTTGAATCTAGCTAAAAGTTTGTTGCCCTATTCCCACCCTGCCAAAATAAACCTAATTAAAATGGAAAAGATATACGCCCAAATTCCTGCCATGCTCAGATGGTTCCACACACAAGTTGTATCAAACACTGGATAATTGCATTGTCAGTTTATCAGTAGAGGTGCAAAAAAATATTGAAAACATTAGGTCATTCCAATCTTACGTAAACTCAGAGAATAGGTAAAGAGGTAATACTTTCCTTGCTGGTTTTATGAGCTAGTACGACCAGAGGACAATACAAACACTGTGTATGTGGGTGTATATGTCATGACCATGTAGGTTTAGCCCAGGTTTAATTTTTCTTTTTTTGAAACAGACCCTCACTCTGTCACCTAGGCTAGAGTACAATGGCACGATCTCAGCTCACTGCAACCTTTGCCTCCTGGGTTCAAGTAATTCTTGTGCCTCAGCCTTACAAGTAGCTGGTATTACAGGTCTATGCCACCACGCCTGACTAATTTTTTGAATTTTTTGTAGAGGCAGGGTTTCACCATGTTAGCCAGGCTGGTCTCGAACTCCTGTCCTCAAGGGATCTGACCACCTCAGCCTCCCAAAGTGCTGGAATTATAGCCATGAGCCACTGTACCCGGCCTAATATTTTAAAATTGCTTAATGTTTACTTTCAGGAGAAAACCCGTCTTATCTCAACAGATGTAGACAAAACATCAAAAACTTTACAATAAAGCTTCTTAACAACTAGGCACAGAAATGAATTTTCTTTTTTCTTTCTTTCTTTCTTTTTTTTTTTGAGATGGAGTTTCACTCTTTTCCCCAGGCTGGAGCACAGTGCTGTGATCTCAGCTCACTGCAACCTCCACCTCCCAGGTTCAAGAGATTGTCCTGTCTCAGCCTTCTGAGTAGCTGAGATTACAGGTGTGCGCCACCACGCCCTGCTTATTTTTGTATTTTTAGTAGAGATGGGGTTTCGCCATGTTGTCCAGGCCGGTCTTGACCTCTGGACCTCAGGTGATCTGCTCATCTTGACCTGCCAAAGTGCTGGGATTGCAAGCAAGAGCCACCGTGCCTGGCTGACTTTTCTTAACCTGTTGGCAAATTATACTTTCTATGAAGTTTCAGAAATTCTTTTTTTTTTTTTTTAGACGGAGTTTCACTCATGTTACCCAGGCTGGAGTGCAATGGCGTGATCTCAGCTCACCGCAACCTCCGCCTCCTGGGTTCAGGCAATTCTCCTGCCTCAGCCTCCTGAGTAGCTAGGATTACAGGCACGCACCACCATGCCCAGCTAATTTTTTGTCTTTTTGGTAGAGACGGGGTTTCACCATGTTGACCAGGATGGTCTCGATCTCTTGACCTCGTGATCCACCCGCCTCGGCCTCCCAAAGTGCTGGGATTACAGGCTTGAGCCACCGTGCCCGGCCCAGAAATTCTTTTTAAAAATCTTGTTTGAGTCAACAGTACTCAACCTCATTGCTTCTATTTAGCATTGTATTACATGACCAAGACAGCACAATAAAGGCAAAGAAGTAAAAGTGAATTGGGGGAAATAAGTTAATGAGTTATTTGTGAATCTTATTCTATTTAGATAACCCCAAATCTGTGTACAAGTTAGTAGAATTAATAAAAGTGTAGCAGATTCTAGTGCGTTAAGATCAAAATATCACGATCCCATTCTTATCTGCCAAGAACAGAAAATAAAATTTAATAAAATATGTATAATAAAAGTAAAGCAACTCTGAATAAGTCTATAAAAATAGAGTAAGACCTTTGAAAAAAATGATCAAACTTTATCAAAAGATATTTAAAAAGTTAAATAAACATAAGATTATAATGAATAAGACCAATATTATAAAGCTTTTCCCCTTAACCCAGAATTTCACATAATGCCAGCCAACATTTCAACAGGTGTTGTTATTGTGTCTGTACATGCATATAGAAGAAAGCAAAGGGCTTAGGAAAAGGGCAATTTACTTGTCCTGCCACTTTAGCGAGTTGTCTTTTTAAAAAAAAGCTGATCACAGGCCGAGTGCAGCTGTTTCCACCTCTAATCCCAGCACTTCAGGAGGCCAGGGTGGGCAGATCACTTGAAGTCAGGAGTTGGAGACCAGCCTGGCCAACATGACCAAATCTCATCTCTACTAAAAATAGAAAAATTAGCCAGGTGTGGTGGCCCACGCCTGTAATCCCAGCTACTTGGGAGGCTGAGGCAGTAGAACTGCTTGAACTTGGGAGGTGGAGGTTTCAGTGAGCTGAAATCACACACCACTGCGCTCCAGCCTGATGACAAAAAGAGACACTGCCTCATAAATAAATTAATTAATTAATAAAAAGCTAATCACAGTATTATGATGTTGCATAGGTATGGGCACATTGACTAGTGGGACAGACTGGGCTGAGAAACCCAGACACACATAAGTGCTTCTCAATAAACAGTCAGTGAAGATGGCATTTTAATCAGTAAGGAAAGTGTTAAGTAAATTTATTTGAACATTGGTTAGTCATATGGAGAAAATAATGTGTATCCATTCTTTATCTGTACATGAGTAATTTTACAAATAAAATATTAGTAAAACAGTAAGCTTTAGGAAATATATACCCTGTGTTACAATTTAAAAACTTTTAAAATATGTAAAACAAAACCACATATTGGTTGTGAAAACGTTTATTTACCAAAAAAACACAAGAGAATGCTGAACACTGGGTTTAGGATCATGTAACCCAATGTTGGGGAAAAGTAGAGGGTTAGCAAAGAGAATTTTTATTTTTTAAGCTGAATGAATATAAATGTTCATTTAAAAATCTTTCTGTGACCTAAGTATTTTATCATGAAATTAAGAATTTAAATTCGGTTGTTTTTTCATGTTCACTTTGCCTTTGTGACTGCCTTAATTTAGCTTGGTGACTTCCTTAGGAAAATCAAAGGTCATCACTCATAGACTTGCCAGCCAGCCAGGCACAAGTATCTAGACCAGTAGTGTCACGTTGCACAAATTAATTCATTTCCCTGTTTCTTGGTTACCTCACCTGTTAAATGGGAGTAATTACTTTATATGCTGTGAGGATTCTGAGTTGACTCATACATAGTTGTTAGTAAATGGTATAGCTTTTCACTTCTGTATAGATTCTTAGAGTTTGTAAACAAGTTTTTTCTTAAACTGTTATTAGAAGTCATTGATTCTTAACTAATTTTAGTATTTTTAAATGCCAGCTTTCTTTCATTGCTCTTTGCCTTCCTTTCTTGAACGTTTTTCAAGCTTTAGGATTTATTTTCTGCATTACTTCTCTGTAAGCTTTGTCGCTTGTGGGGGTGGAGGTGATTCTGAACAATATAACAAGCCAGTGGGAGCTCGAATTGGTTTGTGCTATCCTGATTGAGTTGTGGCTGGGGGTGCATTTTGTGCTCTCTTGAAACCAAAACGGTCCTTTTAAAAAAAAAAGTTTAATCACTATTCATACTAGTCTGATCACCAGTGATTTTGTGTTTCTGAATTCATTTTTATTTTTATGGCTTCATGGTTCAATAATTGGCGTAATTTTTTTGTAACTGCCTACAGTATCGAATTGTCTTTAGGCCATCATTTCTCTAGGCACTCCTAATATTGATTCTTTGTAGCTATATCACTTTAGCTTTATCTTTTCTTTATCTTAGAAACTTACATACATGCTTTAAAAATAGAAGTTTAATGCTACATGTCAAAAGCACATTTATTCACTGGGGAGCTATAGCTTTTTGATGGCTGAGTTCGGAAGGTAGACTTTTTTGTTTGGGTTTTTTTGTTTTTTGTTTTGCATTACTCTTATTTTCTATAATTTTTCATTTTTTACAGTGACAGCTAATATTTTCTGTTTTTGGAAATTTGTCAGCTTCATAGACAAAAAAGAAAATTTAATCTGGAAAAAATTATGGGAAATATCCCCAAATGGATATCACTTCCTTGCCTGAAGAGATAACATACTAAAATAGTTGAAACCTAAACAGCTGCAAGTCCATGGCGCCATCTCAGGAGTTCCTCCTGTGTTCATAGAACAGCTGTGTGCAGCTCATATGCACGTGTGCATGCACACACAGGGAGACATGGCAGACCTCGTGTGGAGGATCTGCTCACAGAAGCTGTTGCTCCCCATGTCATTGGCCGGTCAGTGCCCCTCTTTTGGGGCGTGGGTTTTTTTCTTGAATAGGTGACACTTACTAGAAATGTTGTGAAAACACTGTTTTTGCTGTGTTCTCCAGGTCGGATCCGCACAAGACGGCAAAGCTCTGGGAGTGCCACCAACGTCGCCTCTACACCTTCTGATAACCGGGGCCGCAGTCGCGCTAAAGTGGTTTCACAGTCCCAGCGTAAGAAACATAATTTATGCTGTTGCTTACCTCAGATTTATTCAACAGCCCATTCTGCAGTTGAACATTTTACAATCTTTGTATTGACTTAAGAGGGAAAAACACATTTTTGTGGCTCGAAGTTACTGTGAGTAATCTTACTGTTTGTTGGGTAAGCTTAAAAAATGGAACATTCCAGGCATACATTTGTCTCCTTTCCAGGTGACTTACGTTTTACACTGTTAAGCATTAAACATTAAAATGTAGTTTTTCTCCCTCCTTTGAAGCCTGTCAAATTGTAACTTACCTGTTCTGTGACTCATTTTTGCATTGATAAGGAGTCTTTCGGATGTAATTTTAGAATAGTACCTGGGCAGAAAACTATTAATGCTATGTTCTTTCCAGTGGTAAATAAGTAAATCCATTAAAAGCTCTCCCCCTTTAACTCTGTGCTCTAACATTTGCAGCCCGCACCTCTCTTCCTGCCGTGTGGGCCCTTGCTTTGCCTAGCTGCCCTGCTTCCATGATCACGTCTCTGTATATGTGAAGTCAGTTGGTTTGTTAGCCTCAGCCATGAAAACAGCCACAGCTGGAATGAATTTATTCTGGTCACTCTTCAGATCCGACCTTGGTGTCTCACTTTCCAGCCACACATAAACTTTGAGGGGCCCCGCTTCCTCTCTATGCATGTTGAGCAGAGCTGGGTAGCAGAGTGCCCCTGGGCAAGGTGAGCATGGGAAGGAAGAGTCTTCCTGTCCCCAGGAGCTGCGTGTGATCCCACAGCACAGCACTCACTAGCCGACGTTTGTCTGCCTCCTTTGTGGCCCAAGGAACTATTTGTCTTTGGTGGACAGTGCTCCATCTGCACCAAACTTAGGAGTTCTCTTAATATAGAGAATGCCTTGCTCAACAACTTCTGAATTTAAATTTTTTTCCCTTTGATAACCGTAGTCCTCATGTTATATCACTTCTGCAAGGAAAGCAGGTCAGTTATATTGCTGCCTTTGGTGAGGCTGCAGAACCTCCCTGTGGCTAGGTTGTATTGTGTAGTATGGTATACTACAAGCGTGGGCTTCAGTATCAGACAAAACTGGGTTTGCATTGTGGCTACAGTGTGATGTTGGGCGAGACATTTAACCTTTGTGAGCTGTTGTTTCATTGTCTGTGAATTGAGTGATAACAATTCCTACCCTCATGGGGCTTTCAGGAGGATTTAATGAGAATTAGGAGCCTAGCATGTGATACACAGTAAATGGAAGCAAGCTTTATAGTCATAACGTCAGGTCAGCAGACTCCTGTCCTAGCTGAGGTTGCGCCTTCTTGATACCTGTCTACTTCAGTAGGTTTAGAAAAGAAGGCTAGGAATGGATTTGAGGGTACATTGAGAGTCCATTAAGACCAAGAATGCCCTGCTTACTGTACAACTTAACCCGGATTTTCATTCAGATCCAGGGTGCAGGTGTAGCCCAGAAGCTTCTACCTTGGGAACAGCTTCCTGGCTCTGGTTATTCTGTTGAACACTAGTGATGCCTGGAGGCACAAAAGGGTACATATGGGTCAAATTTTACTGCAAAGGAGTTCTCAACAAAAAGTATTCAAATCTCAGAATATAGGTCGATATAATGAAATTAAGCCAAATAAAAAATATCAAAGCTTTTAATTGTGCAGTATTATTTCCCTCTGTGGAGGTTTAGGGTTGACCAGTATTTTACATGTTTCTTTCTAGTGCTGTTTATCAGCATTGGGCTCTTTAGGGTTTCCTGGCCTAGCTGGGTCAATGCTGTAGTTTTCTCTCCATATTGCAGGTTTTAGGAATGGCATACGTTACCTCTGCTTGGCAGGTGGTGAAGATTACAGTTCCTTCTCTACTAGTGGTTAGGGTGATAATAGAGCTTTGGTTTTTCAGTCTTATACTGTACCTAGCCTTGGGGCTCCACTTTTAAAACTCCCCAGTTTTACTTTACTTACCAAATCATACTCAGGAAGAGTGACCACACTAGGCAGTTATGAAGCCTACATGTTAAGCTTATGCATATAAGTTAAATAATTTTAAAATTGTTTTAATAAGTGGTAAATATAAGCATATGTATCACAAATGTAGATATACTAGTATTCATAGTTCTGATTTAATACTAAGTGGGCTTCATTAATATTAGATTTAAGGTCCTTAATAATTGGCATATTTTAAATATTTGAGGTTTATAGGAAGTCGGGACAGTCAGGTGGAAGTAGCTAACAGCAGTTTCTTTCAGCTAATTGATGTTTATTGAGCATTTACTATGTGGTAAGCAGTTTTGAAGATGGTAGTGATACACAGATGAGTAAGTTACAGTCACTTTCCTCAGGTTGCTTAAAGCAAGAGAACAGATGTGAGTCTGGCACATTGTAAGTTTGAAAGTATTTTATGAACAGACCTGAAAATAAATGCTAATGTAGAATGACAAAGATAAAATAAACATAAGTACAAAAATAGGAAGAAATCCTAGGAAATGGATTAACTATTTTGCTAATGTATTTGTGAACAAACACCTTTGTGTTGTGTTGCATGCTGACCTTCTGTATTGTGTTATTGTCTTTTAATCCACTTTTTGCCTGTCCTTTGGTCTGCTCTCATAATCAAGGATCCAGATCTGCTAATCCTGCTGGTGGTAAGCCATTTCTCTTGCCTTTTTTTTTTTTTTTTTTTGGCATTCTCCCTCACCCCATGTTCCTTGCACAATATTAATTTCTGTCTTTATTGTAAGCTTAGTTAATCTTTCTGCATTTTTCTTTGTGTTCAAATTCTAGAGTTTGAAATGGATTTCTTTTCCCTTTATACATAGTTTAATAGTTTATTAGTAGCTCAAATTTTATGGGTAAAATTAATTGGTCCTGAGACAAATTATTCATGGTAGTGTATATTATTGGTTTTTATAATGGTTTTTCACTTTAATTTGTAGTTAAATCATTATAAACCATTAATTTTTATATTTACCTAAGTGGTTCAATTGAATGATGGTTGTTTTGATTTATATAATGTGTGTTTTTAAATAATATATATTTAAAATAAACACACATATAAATTTATAGCTAACTGTTGCTTCAAATACTTTCTTCCCCTGGGTCATTCTAGTCTACTACATAATAATGTAATGTATACTTTACATGTTAGAATTTTATTGCCTTCTCTACTTAGGGAGATTATCAATGCAAATGACTGCCATTTGAATGTATTGGTATGATGCTTAAAATTTTGTTGTTTTCTCTGAGTGAGAATTGCGCCCCACAAGCAATGGTAATATATGTATCTAGCTACTTAACTATTAATAAAAATTATCAGTCATATTATTAGTTTTTAATTTCCAGTTTTATTGCATACTTTTCAAAGAATATGGTCCATGTTATTTCTACTTTTGTAGATTTTTTTTGAGATTTGCTTTGAGGCTTAATACACAATTTTTTTTTTTTAATATTCACGTATGGAAAGGTAAAAAGAATGTGTATTCTATTTGTTGGGATATATATCTGCATGTGGGAAGTGTGTGTTTTTATACATATGTATACACACACAGGCACAATTTTCATTGCTCTGTCAATTTCTATGAGGTATATAGTTTTTCAATAATTATTAGCCTTTCCATGAGGTCTTTTGGTAAGTATGACTTTTTCCATTTTTCCCTACACTTCTATCATTTTTTAGTTTTATATTTCTTTTTATTTTTTTAAGGCTTTGGGGCAGGAAGTTTTATATTTCAAAACTATGTTGTTTGGAGCATAAAGGTTTGTGATTATTATATCTTCATGGACAATTATTCTTTCATAAATATTAAATATCCTTCTTTGTCCTTTTTAAATGCTGTGTTTTATTTGATTTGTTTTTGTTTGTGGTGTATTGTTTGACTCTTACAAATACCAGACAGCTGAATTTCATTTTCTTTTACTTTACATTTTCTCTTTCTTTCTTCCTTTCTTCTTTTTTTTTTTCAGAGATAGGGTCTTGCTCTGTATTGCCCAGTCTGGAGTGCAGTGGTGTGATCACGACTTGCTTCAGCCTTGACCTCCTGGGCTCAAGTGATCCTCCCACGTCAGTCTCCCTAGTAGCTGGGACCACAGGCATATACCAGCATGCCTCGCAAATTTTTTAAATTTTTGGAGAAATGGAGTCTCCCTCTTGTTGCCCACACTGGTCTCAAACTCCTGGGCTCAAGTGATCCTCCCACCTTGGCCTCCCAAAGTGTTGGGACTACAGACGTAAGCCAGCAGTCCAGGCTTGTTTTAATCTTTTTTAAATCGATGAATTTAATCCAGCCACATTTATTATGATTAATATACTTGAACGTCCTACTATCTTATTTTGTGATTTTTATTTACCAGATTTCTAGTTATTTTATCCCCCACCCCCTTTTCTATTATTTGTCAGATGAATAGATTTTTCATGGATCCATTTTCTGTAACTAATGCTTAAGAAAATTGTTATAGTTCTACTTCTGCTCTTCTAGCAATGACATTTAAAATTTTTAACATAATGAGCTCTTACAGAATAAAAAAAAAAAAAACACAAGAAGAATAAACACCTTGTGGTATTTGTTAGGTATTTACTGTGGAACAAGGAGGCTATTGTTGGTACTTAGCCTGCTGTTTTGAATCAGAAATCTTGTACTTATTTTTGTAGAATTCTACCAGTAGTTCTTCTAAGTATATTCTTTTATGATATTCAATAGTCTTTCTGTTCCTACATTTAAAAAAAATTGCTACCACCACCAAATGAACATTTATTTTTATATAAAATTACGTATTTTATCCAAATTTATGTATAAAAACTGGCTTTTGAAAGTTTCATAATTCATTTCTACATTTATATATTTTATTCATTGTTATTTTGCTTCACTTTTAGCCGGCAGCCGGTCAAGTTCTCCAGGAAAATTGTTGGGAAGTAGTTATGGTGGACTTGCTGGGGGCTCCTCACGAGGCCCACCTGTGACACCATCTTCAGAAAAGCGAAGCAAGATTCCCAGGAGCCAGGGATGTAGCCGGGAAACAAGTCCAAACCGAATAGGATTAGGTAAGGATTCTCAAAGGTCTTAGAATACCATTTCCAACTTGGTCATAGTTTTTATTATAACCTAATAACTGTGTCTAATCTAGGAAATAGAGATCTGTTTTTTGAACTGAGGATGTCACTTTGCCTGGGTATACAGATTATGGCATATTGAGGTTTCAGTTAGAAAAATGTGTGGGACTTAACCATTCAAATTTATGGGAAGGAATTATGTCATTGTAGGCTTTTGTGTTTTGCAGTCATTGTATAAAGCATTGGAATTGGGGAATAGAGGGTGTTTCCCTCACATTTAGAAGCAGTGTTGCTTTTCATTTTCCTTTTACTGATTAGCACTAAATAGACATTAATCTATATGAATTTTCAAAAACAACATTTAGGGTCTACATTTGTTTTAATTCTGATCTTCTCTAATCCAACTGGTGAAACTTATGGTTAAAAACATGTATAGTTACTTTTGACATAGATTTGTTTAAGCATGAAAGCTAGAAATTGATTAAAATCAATATGTATTTATTTTTGCGTTAGTTTTTTTTTAATAGCGTGTAGGATCATGTGACTTACTCTCAGCAGCTTAAATATCTTTTAATCCATTAACATCTAATTCATATACTACTTTTTAATATAAAATTTAGAAATCTTTGTGATATAATGCAAAAAATCTAAGTTCATACTCTTTATGACTTATCCACTTTCTAAGGGTAAAATGTATTAATATAAAATCAGATTACTATATTCTTAAATTGTGTTGGCTTAACTTTCTCATTTATTCATTCATCTCATCAACAGTATTACAGTGATGTATGAGGCACTTTGTTAGACCTGAGAATTAGAAGATACACGAGATAGATTTAGATTCTGACTTCAAAGAGCTTGACATCTATTGAGGAGAGGTGGAAATTTAAGACGGTATGACAAATACTATGACTGGGTGCTTTGGCACCATAAAGAAAGGAGTGTCTTAGACCCTTGGCCACTCCAGATTTCCAGCTAGGGGAGGCTGCCCAGAATAGGTTCTGTTTTCGTTAAGTACAAGGTGGAATTGGTCCTGGTGGGGAGATGAGGGGAAAGGTGTTCTAGAGGAGAGAGAAGCATTTGCAGAAGCAGTCAGGCAAAAGGCAGCCACAGGTAATTCATTTAGCTACTGTACAGAAAGTCAGAGTCACTTGAGTGGGAGTTGAGGGCAAAGAGACTGGTAGAGTCCAGTTCATGAGTCTTTGAAGGCCACCTTAGCTACCAGAAGGCAGGAGTGGATATTTAAGAATGGGAAAGATTTGATTTGAACTCCTATTTCCAAAGCAAGCAGAAAATATTTGGTGGTTTTCTTAATTCTTTATGATGCCAACTTTTTATTGGCATCGCGTAGTGTGGTCTCTGAGCTGACAAGTCATTTGGGTGTTGATGTGGATATAACCATAGAAAAGATTACAGCTGGAATCTCTGAATATTATGGCTGATTTGTGTTTGGAAAATGCATTTGATTTCAAATGTAGGTGTTAGGTTTCAGCTGTCTTTTTTCATAGTTAATTGTTTAATTTTATAGGATGTCTGTTTTCAGTTCATGTTAGTTTTATACATTTAAAGATTCTTTTCTGTTTTGGGATTTTCTTTTTATATTATTAAAGATGCCATTTTAATCTTCTTGAAATTGGGAAATAACCCAACTTCATTTATCTAACGTAATTCTAATGTGCTCCATGGTTTTAACTAAGAAGTTAGTGTTGTGTGTAGTTGAAAAGACAACATTTCATACATTTTTAAAACGGGTATTATGGAACATCAGTAGGAACTGAAGAAAAGCCGATTCCCTTATTTGAACATTATTTGAAGAAACTTATTTCCCTGGTGCTAATTTCCTTTACTTATGTGTAGATTAGTTATGTGTAGAGCTTTGAGGTCATACATATGGTCCAGATTAAAGAAGATATTTTATTTAAATTTCTACACATTGTGAGAATATATTCACAAAAAGAAATAAATATTAATATAGCCAGGCATGGTGGCGCATGCCTGTAATTCCAGCTACTTGGGAAGCTGAGGCAGGAGAATCACTTGAACTCTGGAGGTGGAGGTTGCAGTGAGCCAAGATCATGCCATTGCACTCCAGACTGGGCAACAGGACAAGACTCCATCTCAAAAAAAAGAAAAAGAAATGCCAGATATAGATGATGGGGGGATGGAGGCAGCAAACCACTTTGCCATGTATGTACCTATGCAACAACCCTGCATGATTGGCACATGTACCCTAGAACCTAAAGTACAATTAATAATATATATATATGTGTGTGTGTGTATATATATACACACATATGTGTGTGTATGTGTATATATATGTATATATATATACATATGTATGAATACAATACATTTTCATTTTTTTCCCTATAGTACTTCTTAGACAGTTAGTATATACTAGATATATGCCTATGTTTCTTAACATTTGACTCACTAATAGCAGTTTTCAATATAATTGTTGAAAAAAAAGGGAATATCTTTTACTAATATTTTCTATAATTCCCAAACCAACTAATTCAACAGTTTTAATAATGGCTAAACTAGGTTTGGAATTTGCACTGAGAATTAATTTCTTTTTTCGTTTATTTTAAAACTGATGCCAGGGTTCTTCTTTGGCATTTAAGCTTTCTTACACAAAACAGCCTATAATTCCTGTTTGAATATTCAAGAAGCAAAATATATCCTTGCTACTCTCTTTTTTCATGGTGATTTGTTCCCCCATAAGCTATCTGAATAGGAAAATATATTTGTAAATGGTTTTATTTTTGTGTGTCTTAAAGAGAATACTTTATAGATATAATAAAGTCATATAAATCCCCAGTATCTATAGTGATTCTGTTTTGGAAGTTCGCCCTTGTTTTCTTCTGCCACTCATCTTTGGAAAGGCTGTGAAAACACATTTGACATTTTTGTAACTTTCATTCTGTGGATGTGTATTTAAAATGTTCTTAACGTTTTCTGGTTAAAATACTTTGAAATAAACATTAATAATAGTTCATTTCAACTGTGAAATTAGACTACTGTCTAAGACCAAGACATGAAAATGTCTAGACCAGAGAGACATCTCATGTCTTTAAGTTCCGGTTGTTTTTATTAATTCTCTTATGTTCTACTTTTATGAGTCCTGGTGGGACCCTTCCTTAAAAGGTAAAAGTCAAGATTACCATTAAAACAAGGAAGTAGGGTAGAGTGTCTATCAAGAAATGAAAACCAGTCAAATGGATTTTTTTATGGCTTCCCAGCATTTCATGTAAGCAGAAGACCCCAGAGCTACCTAGGAATACTGCTTTTTTAGGAAGTTCATAGTACAAGTATGTTTTCCTTGTCTGTCTCTCTTAGGTCTTCTCCTCTGTAACATATTTTCACATAGAACATTTAGTTTGGCACTTAAAGGGACAAGTTATGTTGGTAGGTTTTTTTTTAGATTTGATCACCTAATTAATTCATTTATAAAAATAATTTATATACTGATTTTAGGCCGGGCGTGGTGGCTCATGCCTGTAATGCCAGCACTTTGGGAGGCCACGGCAGGTGGATCCATTGAGGTCAGGAGTTCGAGACCAGCCTGACCAACATGGTGAAACCCCGTCTCTACTGAAAATACAAAACTTAGCTGGGTGTGGTGGTGCGTGCCTGTAATCCCAGTTACTCAGGAGGCTGAGGCAGGAGAATTGCCTGAACCCAGAAGGCGGAGGTTGCAGTGAGCTGAGATTGCACTACCAAATTCCAGCCTGGTCAGCAGGAGACTTCCTCTCAGAAATAAAAAATAGGCCAGGTGCAGTGGCTCATGCCTGTAATGCCAGCACTTTGGGAGGCCAAGGCAGGTGGATTGCCTGAGCTCAGAAGTTTGAGACCAGCCTGGGCAACACAGTGAAACCTTGTCTCTACTGAAATACAAAAGTTAGCCAGGCGTGGCTGCGTGTGCCTGTAATCCCAGCTACTGGGGGGGCTGAGACAGGAGAATTGCTTGCAGCCTGGAGGCAGCGGTTGCAGTGAGCTGAGATCATGCCACTGCACTCCAGCCAGGGGGCAGAGCAAGGCTCCCTCTCAATAAATAAATAAATAAATAAATAAATAAACTTATTTTAAATCCTTCTTTTAGATTAGTCTTTCAAAGTAGTAGTATAAGTGAGTTTGTATTTCTCTTGCGTTTTAAATTATTTAACATTTGAACTGTTGATGTCACCACTAGATTTATTTTAATGAGTTAATGATGCCAAGGCTCTTGAGGTTTAGGGTAACTATGGTAATATTTTCACGAAATCATAAACAGAAATACTTATTTTTCTTTATAGTGCTACTAACCATATGTTAAAGGAGAAAATCAGCTCAAATGGGTGAATGAACCTGGGTGAAATACCACGGGGATAAACCTTAAGAAATTTATGTATGCTGTTATTTCAGATTATATCTGTTTACTGCTGTTAATGCTTTTTATTGTCTTCACAAAGCAGACTCAGACCAAAAAGAGAGCATTTCTTTCCCATTGTTCTAGGATGTATATGAATTTAAGGAAAGGGGTAGGCTGGGAAAATTTCAGAAGTAATCAGGCAAGAACTATTCAGAAAATGCTCAACTAAGCATGCACTTGTTTAAACAACTATCAAGACTTTTTATTGCTTTTTTATTATTGGTTTCGGAGTGGGCAGTGGAATAAGACAAAATTTTCATGTGTACTCTTCATCAAGGGACTTGGAAGTACTTATGTATGTGCATTATCTCATAGTACCCCTCTCATTTAAAATGAGGGGACACGTTCTTTTTCCTCATTTTCCTAATAATAGGAGGCTTGAGACCCAGAGAGGCCTGGTGGCTGGACCAGTTAGAGCATGGAACTGGAAAGGTTACTTCTTGACTTAGATTTGGCATTGGTTCTCCAAAGATGAGTAGGATGCGTGGTATTGCTGTGTACATTCTAGGAAACTTTTTCATATTGGTAGGGACAGTACATACTCCCTGGTTTTTTAAGGATTTAATTTGGCATCTCCTCCTTTTGTCATCATTGTAGGAGCTGTTTAGAAGACCAAAAAGAATTGCTTATTCAATAGTCACTACTACTTTGAATGAAAATTCAGTACTTTCATGTCACTCTGGCAAAATTAAGGAGAGTTTAAGACTTTCTGGTGAACTGGTGAAGCCCCAGTAAAGCCCTTTATGTCTAGATTGTTGAGATTACATTCCTGTGCCTGACCTTTTTTTTTTTTTTTTGGCCTGAGCAATACTAAGCATTTGCATATCACTTAAATGCCTTCAGAGTCTAGTTCCACTCCAGCACTGAGCAGCTGAGCCCAGTGGAAAATTGGCTTTAGTTTTCCCTTTCGTATACTTTTTTCATCAGGGAGTATTATGATTCTGGTTTATAAGACATTCTTATAGTTTGGCTATATACCCTTTGCTCTGAAGTAATAGACTATGCATGTTGCAGTATAGAAACATACTTGTTTTTATATCAGTGAATCAAGTTAATTGTTTCCAAATCTCGACATTTTTTTTCAGCCTAGAAGTTGTAGATCCTCTCAAGATGGAAACGTATGTTGTCCCTATCAGCTGTTATATTAGGCATTCCACTTACATATATTCAATATACAATGTTGTTTTGGAGTATTTTGCCAGTAATGTATTTCCATTTTCTCAAATTAAATGGAGAAACAGGGTATCTTGATCTTTTCTGAGCTTCACAGCCAAGTTATTATGAGACCCTGGGATATTCATGCAATTCTGTCTTACAGTCTTGGTGTTTTATAACATGAGAATGATTAACTTTATCCAGATAATCAGAAAGTTATTTACTGTTCCCAGGTCAGTAGAGGGGTGTTTCACTCAAATACTGAGAGTATTGATCTACTTGGTGTAGCCCCAGTTTGTGAGACTGGATCAGTGGCGGTGCTTGGTAGAGACCAGAGGCAAATCTTGGATTCTCATTGAAAAAGCAGGATTAAATGTTGGGATCAGTAAAGGAAAGGATAACTGTCCCCACTTTTTATATCTGCTGGTTTGGAGAATTGGATATGTTTGAAGCATCTACACACTTACTTGGAGTGGGTAGGCTCTCTGGTTATGTCAACCCTTATGGCTTCTTTTGGTGAAGGAGGCCAGCCTGGGAGCAGTGAGTCCTCTTCATTAGGTAAGTTCATGGACTTCAGTGACCAGTGTAGTTGTTCTGTTCGTTAATCCAAATTAAATTACCTTTCTAAAGAACAAGTGCCTATGAATACAGCTTTGTTTTTTTGTCGTCTTGTTGAGAAGTGTGCTAAACTCATAAAAACTGATCATTTCTAAAAGGCTTTTGATCTTGTGTTTTCTGATGCCAGTTTGTTCTTTAGAAAGATTTCTTTTCACTTCTTACATTTAGGTGTAATTTCACCTTCATACCAAAATTCAGTTTTCTGAAGCATTGTGCATAGTCACGTTTTACCTAAACCCTCCTGTTGGCACATCAGTCAGCGAGACCTCAGCGTGGATAGGTGGCTCAGTCATCAGAACTCCCCAGTGCGAACAATGTCGTAATTACATTAACCAAATGTGACTGACATTTTGTGAGTTTTTCTGTCTTCATTAAACTTGTTCACCTTCTCTGAAACCCTTCATGCTGCACACTAGCACGGAGCAGCCGTATCCCTCGACCCAGCATGAGTCAGGGGTGCAGCCGCGATACCAGCCGTGAGAGCAGCCGAGATACAAGCCCTGCTCGGGGCTTTCCTCCACTTGGTGAGTACATGTAGGCGCTGGCTGAGGAGTAGAGTTCCTTTCCCTGCTCCAAATGCTTGTCCGAGACACTGCTAGGTGGAATGAACTGCTTTTCCTCCTCCACTGTCCTTGTGATCCTTCCTTCTTTCTTCCCTCTTCCTTAGTTACCCTCTGTTGTCCCCCTCTGCATGCTTGAATTTTGGCAACTTCGAATTTTTGTATATTAGAGGAAAAAAACACCACTTCACTCTGTGCTGTTGTCATTGATGAACACTTGCTCTCAGCAAGGCCATCTGTGTGGCAATTTCTAACATAAGGCAAAACTCAGCCGAAGTTAGTTGCTGCTTAAAAGCAAAGTTAATCCAAAGTTTATCCTTAGTCATTGAATTGTTATAATTTATCTTTAATTTTACTACAGATCAGTCTATATGTAATTTAATTCAAAGAAGGAATCAAAGTGCAATTGTGATAATGTTTAGAAAAGTAAATGAGTTTTCTTTTTAATGTTAATAGTCCTGCCTTCTCTAAAATGGACACATAATAAACCCTTTTTAGTTAGTATAAACTGTTAATGCCCAAAAGACATCTGTCAACACATACTTTTGTGCAAAGTAATATTTTATATTCTTCAATAATTATTTTTTGCTCCTGCATTAAGTGCTGTACATTTTTCTTTTGATAAGCATACACATAGAAACCATTTTATTATAATTAGACCTAGACCTGAAATTATGTGGATCTGTGGACTCCAGCAGTCTGCTAATTTTAACTACCTAATTATATAACTGCTCTTTTGAAAACGATACATGTCACTACAAAAGAGGGATGTTAAATCAAAAGCATAAGTTCTTAACATTTGCCTCTACCTGTCTCCTTCTAATGTCGTTCACTTCTTCTGATCTTTTTTCCCTAATCAGTATCAGCAATCAAAATCTAGACATATTTCTTTATGACTCATTGTTCTTTATGAGGTTCTGAAAAAGGAACAGGCAACCAGATGCCAAACCAGATAGTACCAGGCCATCCCCGTGACTGAGTGAGGCAATGCCTGTTGTGAGTGTTCCACCTTGTTAGCATGAGCCCTTGAGTGGGGCAGCGCACCTGTTGCCTGTCACCTATTCCACAGCCGTCTGAAGCATTCACAGCAGAATTCTCAATAATCAGAGGTGGCAATGATGATTTTTTTTTTTTTTTTTTTTTTTTTTTTTTTTTTCCTGAATGAACTGGTGATTTTTCCTTTTAAATTAAGGCTGTATTTCTTTGCATCCTTGCTCACTATTTGACCTTCTGAACAACCTATTATATGAGTAAACAGTTCAATTTTTTATTGCTTATTTTGTCTCTTAGAAGCAATTCAGTGTTTTCCTTTCAAATATGTACTGTTATTTTTGATACTGTATGTGGAAGCATCCTTTGGAATCTGGCATGTGGACGAGGCAAGGTGTGCTGAATTCTTGAGATCCTAATTGAACTCTGAGCAGTTGAGTGAATCTTGTCTGTTTTGTACGTTGTTTGATTAAACGGATCTGCTTAGCTGTCTTGCTGACAACCCAGAATGTTGAAATCTGTAATTGCCACTACCAAGGCAGAAGGTATGGGTCCTCACAAACTCTAGCATCAGCTCATGTCTTCTGTTGTGGTCAGGGCAATAGTTAAGGTCTTTGAGCTAAATTTTTGTATCATGCCTTTCCTTTACCTTGGGTTAAACCTGACCCTAAAACGTAGGTCCAGCAAGAACAACAACTTTGCTCATGTGTACCCACAGCATGTGGAGCAGTCAGCAGGCATAATGCCTGGGGTCCCTGTTTATCCTCTGGGACAGGTATTATCATCAGAGACTTAGGGAGAATGAGCTACTTTCTCTAGATCACACAACTAAATGGTGGAGCCAGGGTTTGGAGTCAGGTTTGACTTCAAACCTGCCTCCTTTGGAAGTAGTTCTGATAATTCAGTGTCTTTCATTTGTTCCTTGAAAATGTATTAAATGCTTGTACTGAGGCTTCTGCGGGGTGGTTAGGAGAGGTTTCTGAATCATTTATTTCCAGTCTTGGAGTTAGGATCTGCGAAGTCAAAAGAACCCAGAAGATTGTTGTCCTCAGGGAGCTTACCACACATCCTCTGAAGGTTCCTTCTTTAGCTCATCCATTTTAATAATCTCTTCCCACCCCTTTTGGAAATTAGTGAGATTGTATGTTAGGGCTTCTTTGAATCCACTTATGTAGCCAACTTTCTTTAACAACAACAAAAAAAGAATGAAAGCACTTACATTCTAGTGAATGTATATTTTTGAGTTTGCATTTTTGTTGTTTTGGACTATTTTGATGGTATGAATCTATATGGTTATATGGCAGTAATTGTTGATTAAGGGAAATCAAGGGCTCTAGGACTGCTATAAATTAAGCTTTCACATAAGTGGGTCTATCTGGGATTCCAGTGTTGGGTGATAACTTGTGAATGTGACAGAGGACTCATTGCATGGCAGATTTCTTTTAGAATATTCTGTTGAAAATGAACCAAAGGACCACTTTATAAGGAACCTATATATCAGGCACTGCTTAAAAACCATTTCAGACTAAACTATCAAGACAGTGATGTGCTTGTACAAAAATGTATCATTTACTTCAGTCTTTTTTTTTTTTTTTTTTGGTTCGGTCTTAACACTAGATATTTCACCAACTTCCTTATTTAGGGAAAGTGATAATTTTATAATTTTATAAAATTTATTGCCAATTTATTTTTAATTTTTGTGAATCTTGAGGAGATATTTTCCTTTTTTTGCAAGCTGGTAAAAATGTGTCCTTATTAACCTGGTACTCTTTGCTATTTAATACCACATGTACCATAGAGATGTACATTTTATAAAGTAACATGGACCTTAAAAATTATATTGAAGAACTTGAGGTATTGATATTTTATGACTGTGAGAATGTTAACATGTACAGGATACTCTAGTAGTATGGATGAAATGTAGCACTGCTCAGCATTACTTTGTTAAATCTATGAATTTTCTGTGGTATAATACTGTGAATTTTTCAGAGTAATGACTGGAAGCATATTATCTTTTGTTTTTCCTGTTATGGAAAAGCCATATGTTACATGGAACTGTGGTCAATAAGTTAATGTTTTGAACCAAGTCTTTATTTCTTAATTATTTCTAAAAGTTGTTTTCTTTCCACATGAGAACAGAATTTAGCATTTATTTCCTCAGGTTGATGAATTAATGCTCATTAAGAATACTTTCCTCAGGTTGATGAATTGATGCTCATTAAGAATACTTGTTAATAAAATGGTACTGTAATGTCAGATTGTAAATTATAGACTGCTCTTAACTGTTACCAGCACCACCACCACTACTAACCATCGTTTAAGTGCTTTATAATCTCTTTTAATCCTCTCAGTAACTCCCAAGAGGTAGGTACCATTAACCATTATTAGCACCATTTTATAGATAAGATATTGAGACACAGATAGATTTAGTACTTTGCCCAATGTCGGTCCTATGACTAGTTGTGATCCAACTAGGGCTTACAATTGCATTACTGAGCTGGTGCTTGTAAACAGTGTACTGTAACTACCTCTCCAAGGAAAATCATTAAACTTAATACAACTAAATTTCCAACAATTACACAAGTACTAATAATTAGGATATGGCCAGGCGTGGTGGCTCATGCCTGTAATCCCAGCACTTTGGGAGGCTTGAGCACATTGCTTGAGCCCAGGAGTTCAAGACCAGCCAGGCAACATAGGGAGACCTCATCTTTACAAAAAAAAAAAAAAAAAAAAAAAAAAACCAGGTGTGGTAGCACATCTCTGTAGTCCCTGCTACTTGGGAGGCTGAGGAGGGCAGATCTGCTTGAGCCTGAGAGATCAAGGCTGCCCTGAGCCATGATGGCGCCATTGCACTTCAGCCTGGGTAACAGAGTGAGACTATCTCAAAATAATAATAATAATAATAATAATTAGGATATTCATGCAACAGAACAACAAACATTTTGACTGGGGAAAACAGAATTCCAATTGTTGAACTCCCTTCCTGTGATTTCATTTTATTTCTGTTGAAGTAACATTATGAACTTCTATGCTTGTTTTTGGTGCATGGTTGCATATGCATCACATACTGATAAAACATCTCGTGAGCTGAGTTAACCATCCGTCTTACTGCCGTCCCACTCTGGGATATAGACGGTGCTCTGTGACTCCTGCTGTTCTTCATGTTGCATATTTCCATACCGGCTGATGGAGGCTTCATGGTGTGACTATAACCTTGGAGTCTGAGTTGGTTGATGCATACTTAGTTTGGAGCACCTTTAAGAGTGCCTTTGTTGTGCCTGTGTGTTTAATAGCTGTGTGAAAGCCAGCTGGCCACCGTGGAGTTTGGGGATTGGCACTTGCTATCCATTCATATCCAGCACCATTTCTTCTCATGAGAAAACATGGCCTTGTTGGTAGTGGTCCCTGCATTTCCTTTGGACTGTGGCATTTTCTGTCTCTGGTACTTCTGTGTTAATCCTGTGGGTGTTGCCATTCCTTTTACCTGCAGCCTCTCGACGTCATTCCAGGTCCACTAGTGCTCTCTCCACTGCTGAATCTGTTGGGCAGTCAGGTGAACAAGTGCTAACTGCATGACTTGGCTTCTTCATATGTTCTAGTTTCACACCCATGTTAACTTTTGTTTTCATCTGTGTCGGCTAGCACTTGGCATGTATGCACCTCATTTTTTTCCCCAATGTGCTTTAATGTTTTTAAGTTATTGAATGTTTATAGTTCTGTTAATAGGCTGTAGATGCTTTATAGCCTGTTTGACAACATCGTTTCTCCAGTATTCATATTTACGTTAAAACAAAAAGCAGGGCAGTACTTCCCTTCCTGCCACCCTGACCCCTGGAAAATAACCAAAATCAGGTATTATTTAGGGTTCCTGTGGGGCAAGGGGCATGGATATCATCCAATAGATTGTCTCAAAAGTCTTTACTACAAATAAACGGTCACGTATTAATACTAGTTATTAATGTCAAGTTCACATTTTTTTGAGGTAGCACTTAGTTGCCAGTGTTGCAGATTATAGCATACATAATTTTATATGTATGAAAATAAATGTATTATTCTCAAAGTGTTATGGAAAAACAAGATCAGGATTCAGGTAATCAAGTCAGGCCAAAGGTATCCTTTGCAGCCTGCAGACTCCAAACCTTCTCTCTCAGCTCTGTTTAGCAATACTCAGTGTCCACTGGTTAGCCCCACAGTTGCAAAAGGTAAGCAAACAGTAATACATCAATTTGTTAGATTTAATGACTTTTTTTTTTTTTTGAGACAGAGTCTCACTCTGTCGCCAGGTGCTAGGCTGGAGTGCAGTGGCACAATCTCGGCTCATTGCAACCTCCGCCTCCCGGGTTCAAGCAATTCTCCTGCCTCAGCCTCCCGAGTAGCTGGGACTACAGGCACGCGCCACCATGCCCAGCTAATTTTTGTATATTTAGTAGAGACGGGGTTTCACCATGTTGGCCAGGATGGTCTCGATCTCTTGACCTCGTGATCTGCCCGCCTCGGCCTCCCAAAGTGCTGGGATTACATTATTTTTGTATGCTAACAGTCCCTAATGACTACAGTTTTCTCAATTGATTAAGACATAATCTATGAATTTGCAGACCGTTCATGGTGACAGTTGTTACCGATTCACTGAATCAGGTATTTTCTCTTTTCTTCCTCTAAATGAAGCCAGCTATGCTTTTTTTTTTTTTTTTTTTTAAATAGGATCTCACTCTGTCGCCCAGGCTTGGAATGTAATAGCATGATCTCGGGTCACTGCAACCTCTGCCACCAGGGCTCAAGCGATCCTCCCACCTCAGCCTCCCAAATAGCTGGGACTACAGGTGTTTACCACCACACCCAGCTAGTTTTTGTTTTGTTTTTTTTTTTGTAGAAACGGGATTTCATCATGTTGCCCAGGCTGTTCTCAAACTCCTGGGCCCAAGCGATTTACCCACCTTGGCCTCCCAAAGTGCTGGGATTACAGGCAAAGCCACCATGCCCAGCCTCCTATATATTCTAATTATATACACTTCCCTGAAGATTAGGGGCCAGGCTGAGAGCATAGTCATATGCATTCATCTCGGAACATTGAACTTCATAATAGTATCAGAGCCCGGAGAATATGGAACAGATTTTACTCTGGTGAAAACATAAAGCTTATAATTTTGCTTAGATCCAGATAAACATTTCCCCTTAAGATTTAAAATTCAAATTGTCTATGACATATATCAAATGATCTGTAGTCACTGTATGTGGCAAAGCTGTATGCATCTTGGAAGCACAGAATAATTGCATTGTTCTTAGAGTTTTAATTTTGTGTCTGAAAAATCTGTATTCTCCCCAGAGCAAGAATTGCTGGCATGAAATCTTTTTTTTTTTTTTTTTTTTTAATTTTTTTAGACTTCGTTTTTTTTACGTTTATGCTGGGTAATTTTTAAATGGCTTATAACTGAATTACTTTCATTCTGTTACTCATAAATCTACTATCTACCCTTTTTTAATGAAAAAAACTTGAACAAAGATCATCTATAAAACTATGTGCATAGTAAATCTCACATTTACACTTGTTTTGTATTTCAAGTGACAAATATAGATAAATGTAATTTTTAATGGTCCTTTTTAGTTTATATGGCACATTACCTTTTAAACATAATGGCTAAGATGACAGTTGGAATGACCAGCGAATGCATTAAAAAAGGGGATAGTATAACATACAATTTTTTTTTTAGAAAAATTCATGACTGTATAACTCTATTGATTAGCAGTGTTTAAATTTTTCTCTCTGTGGTAGTGGAAGGTGTAATGTTTGAAATTGACATTTTTAAAAAGCCAAATGGCAATTCACTTTTAAAGTTCATCAGTTGTGTAGGCACTGTCTTGTTACATATCTAAATTTTTAAATACATTGTTTTATAGGAAAGATCAATTCATGTAAAATAGATAATAGCTTCCCTTTTATTCTAGATGCTTCTAGAATTTGGCTAACATAGAGATTTTCCTTGTCCAAACGATGTCTTATTTGTTAACACAGAGAAAATATTTTATCTAAACATTTTTCTTCCAAAGGTTTTTATACATTAGAATTTTAAATAAAAATTTTTTTACTGGTAGATAATATATAACACACTTAATGAAGATATGACTTGCACTGCCTTTCTTCTAGTATAGTTTTAATCTCCAGCACGTCCTAAGGAAGGTTGGTTAGCTGATTTAATGGGACTTTAAAAAGTGAGTTTGCATTTCCATGATCACTAACAAGTTTAAAATAGATGCTTGAACTGCTAAAATTTGTTTTAAATTCTTTGGGTTCTTTCTATTTTATCTGTATAAAGATTACCATTCTAAATTATTTGAGAAGCCCAGGTAAAACTTATACTAATATTACCTAAATTTTTAATGTTCTGCAGTGAAAGTGCTAGATTTTTTTGGCGATTATTTTAATAAATTGATTTTTAAGTAATTTTTGTTGACCAAGGCATCATGACGAACAAGCATCTAAAACTAAGCGAGTTTAGTAATAGTAAAACATAGTGACACTAACAAAAATTTGCACAGAAATCAATTTAACTCATCTGTTTCAAATTTTAATTTTTTAACCGCACATTGCCTTAGAACTCTTATGAAACCATGAAGCTTTCTCATTAGTTTCATCAAACATCAAGGCCACTTTTGCCTCTAAAGGGAAAGCTAAATAGATTAAAAGACTCAACTTATAGCCCAGCTTCCTTTTATAATAAGTTGCCCCTTCTCTCTCATATCTCAGAAAATTTTCAATAATAAAATACCATGTGTGAACAATTTCCAGTGACAGTGCTTTGTGGCACATAGCATTAAATGTGAGCAGCTTAGCCTCTACCATAGCCTCTACCACTGGTAAAGAAGTCAAGTGTAGTTAAAATTGGCTGGAGACTTTTCACTGCTTCTGTCTACTTGGTGGGAAGAAGCAGGAGTCCTTGCAAGGAATTGAGATAATCTGAATTAAAGTGACACATCTTTTGCTTTTGTTTTTTAAATAGATCGGTTTGGGCTTGGCCAGCCAGGAAGAATACCTGGTTCTGTGAATGCCATGAGAGTTTTGAGCACAAGTACAGATCTTGAAGCTGCTGTTGCTGATGCTTTGGTAAGAGGCACAGTATGTATGTAAACAGAGTCTCTTTGAAATACTCATCTGCATTTCTCTCTGTCTTAACAGGAAATTGCCCCCAAATCAGGTTGCTAAATCATCTTTGACACTCTTTAAAATTGTGTAACTGTTGGGTAAATGTGTATTGTTGTTGTTTGCTTCTTAAACTTTTACGTCTGCCTATATAAGTGAAAATGGACTTTACAGAAAATATTAGAGTCAAGTATTTCTTATCTGTGCTCTTCAGTATCAAGGAGCTTTCGATGACATTGGGCTTCTCGGCTGTCACTGGCCTTCTTTTTTTTCTTTTTAACCACGTTGGTTCCCCCCCCCACCGGCACTTCTTTTTTTCCATTCTGTTGCTTCTATTGCTTTACAGATTTTGATGGCATAACCTAGACATTTTTCATAATAGTAGGTAATAGAGTTTGAGGTTTGAAAATCTTGCATTTACTCCATTACCTTGTCTGTATGATTTTATGTTGTTTTTCCTAACTCTTTGAGGATGGGAAGCAATGGTAGAATATGTTTTTGCATCATTATAGTGTAATATCTGAAAAACATAAATGATCATGGATCCTTTAATGTTTTGGTTATACCAGAAAGTTTCTTGGTAGAATCAGCTTGTGGTCCAAGTGCTTTTTAAAGATGCATTTCAGCTAGTCACACAGTCTCTTGCATATTCCAGTTTATGTGCTCAGCATTTGAAATGGGTGTTCTTTAGAACTCTCTGATCACTGGCCTTGCTTTTGCTGTTTTGAGATTTATTCTCTTGTAAGGAAAAAAAGTATGTAATATTCTGCTTTTAGACTCTGAAGTTTTTAATCCAGCCATGTTTTATCAGATCACCGTTCTATAGTTTATGGCTATGGTGATTCCAGTTTTCATTCCTTCTTCTCTTGCCTTCATTTATTCTTCCTCAGTCAGGTTGTTTGACAGGTGTCTGTGAGCAAGCAGTTTGCTGCTCTCGTAATGCTTTTCCTGTAGGTAAACTGCCTGGCCAGCTGTATTCCTCAACCTTATGTATAGAAGGACTTTTTTCTAGCAGGTACCAGAGTTCAGGGTAACTGCTCTAACCATGGCTTTAAAAGTCAAGAGCTGGAACAAAATTCTCTGAAGCTGTTTGTCCTTCCAAGTTGCAGAATTTAGAATCTGGCTCTTATTTGTTCAGAGACCCTGGGAAGTAGAGGTCAAAGGAATGGGAAATGATGGATGTGAAACCCTTGGTTGAGACTTCCACTTAAGTCAAGGGAATTTCTTAGTTCTTTAAAGAACTGCATAAGGGACTGTGTGTAAAGTTCTAGGAGGCAGAATAGGACTTGAGAGTTTGAGCTTTGGCTTAACTTGACTTGAGCTTTTCTCTGAGCTCTAACTCCCATTAGATTCATGCTGCCCTTGTTACTTTTTGTCCAAACTATTTAGTCTCTCCAAGTGACCTGCTTCTGAAGAGAAAACACAGAAATGGTACAGAATCCTTGCCTCACTGAATAGACGCACGGGGCCAGACAGAATGTCTCAGAGAAATAGATAGTAGAATTAATGGTGACCTTAGAGATTTGCCTCACTGGTATGGGAAAAGTTTTAGCAAAGAATTACAGCAAGTTACCAGAAGGTCTTCTGAGACGCGAAGGAGGGTTAGAAAATGCCATTTTGACAGCATTCTTTATTATTATTCGCTTGATATGAAACGCTTGCTAACCTGTATTTTTGGTTTGCTAAGATATGTTTTGCTGTATACTTTTGTTGCAAGAACAATCCCTACATATGCTTCTGACATAATTCTCTATGCTTTTTCCCCATCCTTCAATATTTTCCTGCCTACAGCTGTTAGGAGACTCCAGGAGCAAGGTACCAGTGCTTTAACTTTTGTTTTACAACTGTATTGCTTCTGTTGCAAGTATATTTCTTTTAGAAGCTAGTGAAAACAAAAAAATATGGTATAGTATAGAAATTCTGGTTTATATGATTTTGTTGAATCGTAACAGTGATTCACCATCATTGTTGCGTCATGGTGGAGTCAGTCACCTTTCATGTACATCTGTTTCAGTATTTATTTTAAATGTCAAGCTCTGCTGCCGCTTCTAGTAGTGTTTCATTTTATTAACCCAATTTATGCCTATTCTTACGTCGTCATGATTTCATGAATGGATTTATCAACACTTTTCTTATTTTAGGAGTCTGGTTTATATGTGCCCATGTAATTTGTTATCCAAACAAAAATGCTTTTGGGAGTGAAAGGGGGATGCTATTAATAATTATGTTATGACGGTGCGCTTAAGGCAGAGCAGCCCTGAGAAAGTTGGATTAATAATAATACGCCATATTATTAGAGAAGTGTATTTGTATGGTTTAAGCCAATAGCTGTTTGTTTTGCTTTTTAAAATTCTATATAGTTGCTATTCTGTCATATTTATGGGTATAACAGTTTTGTATTCAGGGTCGGTGAAATGAATAAAGTGGGTATTATAGTCTACTTTAAAAGAAGCCTATTCGTGTTTGAAAACCCTAAATCTTTAATGCAAGTGGCCAGGAGTTCAAAACCAGCCTGCACGACAGAGGGAGAAGACCTAGGAATTCTTTTATGTGGACCACTGCCACTGACATTTCAAATTCTGGCTTTTATAGGAAACATAAATATTCAAAAAAGTTTGCCCATAGACTGTGCTCAGGATATATTGCTTTTGACTGGGAAGGGGCTGTTGGCTGCGCATATTTGCAGTGTTCCAGGTGCCCAGCTGGAATATTTAACATGTAATTTTATTTAATCCTCACAACAAGCCTGTATGATAGGCATAACTGTTGTTGTCTTAAAGATGGAGAAACTGCAGCAAAGTGCTTAGGAGGCTTTCAGAAGTCACACAGCCCAGTCAGTGTTGGCACCAGGATTGTGATCTGCCTGTCTTCCTGTAAAGTCCACACACTTTACTAGAGGCCACACTCTTTCCCCTCTACTACAGAGCGCTTTGCTTATTAGCTATTTTACCTAACGGAAAACTGCGTTTCTGTTTTTATTTCCCTAATCTATAAGCACAGGAAAAGTGTGTCTGTGCATGTATCTTTTTACACTTAACTCTTTGTTGTAGATTTTGTTTGGTACGACTCACGGTCATTTCACCTTTCTATTTTGTCCTCAATCACTCCCACCCCTCATTGGACCTATCAGAAGAAGCCTGTGAGGAGGAGGTATGAGCCGTATGGGATGTATTCTGACGACGATGCCAACAGTGATGCCTCGAGTGTTTGCTCTGAGCGCTCGTATGGCTCCAGGAATGGTGGCATTCCCCATTATCTGCGGCAGACCGAGGATGTAGCAGAAGTTCTCAACCACTGTGCTAGTTCAAACTGGTCAGAAAGGAAAGAAGGGCTTCTGGGCCTGCAGAACCTACTGAAGAGCCAAAGGACACTGAGGTGAGGACCACAGCAAGAATATGAGCTAACCTTGAATCCCCTGTTGGACTCCTCAGGGGCTTAAAGGGATTCCCTATAATTAACGGAGTCTTCAAGAGGTCCACTTGCAGGAACCGGCATTTAGTCATTAGTCCTTGCCATCCAGAGGCTTTGAAATATCTGGCAAATATATTTTTTTTTTCTTTTTCTCGAGGTGGAATCTCACTCTGTTGCTCAGGCTGGAGTACAGTGGTGCGATAGTGGCCCACTGCAGCCTCCACCTCCCAGGTTCAAGCGATTCTTCTACCTCAGCCTCCCAAATAGCTGGCACTACTGGCATGCACCACCACACCCGGCTAACTTTTGTATTTTTTAGTAGAGATGGGGTTTCACCATATTGTTAGCCAGGCTAGTCTCAAACTCCTGACCTTGTGATCTGCCCACTTCGGCCTCCCAAAATGCTGGGATTATAGGCGTGAGCCACCGCGCCCAGCCCATGTGGCATATATTCTACAATTTATTAGGTTGATAAAACATTTAGGATGGATACAGTGGCTCATACCTGTAATCACAGCACTTTGAGAGGCCAGGGCAGGAGGAGCACTTGAGCCCAGGAGCTCGAGACAGCCTGGGCAACAAAGGGAGACCCCATCTCTACAAAAAATGTGAAAAATTAGCCGGATGTGGTGACATGCATCTATAATCCCAGCTGCTTCGGAGGCTGAAGCAGGAGGATTACATGAGCCCTGGAGTTGGAAATTGGCAGTGATTTATGATTATACCACTGTGCTCCGGCCTGGGTGGCAGAGCAAAACCCTGTCTTAAAAAAAAAAAAAAAACAGACCACGTATTTGGTTCTCTTATGTTTCATATTTGTCCAGTAGATATTATTTGAGAAATTTTGGTGTACAATATGCAATTCAGGTAGAACAAAAAACAAACAAAAAAACAACTCCGCAGGTTAGTATGGTTCAGGGTCCTGGATAAAATGTTTCAGTCTCAGTCTGGAAAATTTTGATATGCGTGTGCATATGTGTAGCTTATAAATGTACATAGTAAGGAGATAACAAAATGGAGCCCTTCAAAATAGTAACAGCATTGTCTCTTAGATGGATTGTTTTTGCTTTTTTCTTTGTTTCTGTTTCATAAATTTTCTAAAATAAGCATGTATTACACATACCAAAAAAGTATATGGTTATACCATATTTTGTCAAATCTAAGGCACCATAGACACCCTTATTTTTATAGCCCTTTAATAAATGCTGTCTATTAAGCCATGACAGTACAAATATGTCATTGATTATAAGATGACTCTCAATTACAGAGAAAGTTAAAACAAGAGAAAGGAGATGTGAATGGGAAGTAAGAAATGGGCAACTAGCCAGGCGTGGTGGCTCACACCTGTAATCCCAGCACTTTGGGAGGTCGAGGTGGGTGGATCACAAGGTCAGGAGTTCGAGACCAGCCTGGCCAGCATGGTGAAACCCTGTCTCTACTAAAAAAGAAAGAAAAACCATACACACACACACAAAACAACAACAACAAAAATTAGGAAAAAAAAAAAAGGAATGGGCAACTTGGAATACATGAAATGCAATCTACTTTATCCTTTGGATAATTTTTGTAAGGTAAATTAGCTGTCATAGATGGGACTTCCTCTTGGGTTCTGGAAAGCGAAGTGGGCACTGGCTAATGAGTCGCCCAGCCCTCACAGTGGCTCCTCAGACAGTCTGACTCCACCCTCCTGTACTCAAATCTGCCCCACATTATTCGTTTGTTCGTGAAGATGATACAGGAAGTTTTGTCATGTGCCTTCTGAGATGCAGGCATCCTGTGACACTCTGGTGACCTGTCAGAAACAAAAGATGATTTATGGCTGTTGTTCCTCAAGAATATGTTTAATCCTGGTGGTCCCACTTTGTAGATTCTTAGTGTTCACCAAGTACCCATTGAATAATCTCTAGAAATCTGTTGATTGGCATTAGTCTAATCTAGGTTGCATCATTAACAATATTGACGGGTCCTTGAACCAACTGTTTATCCACATAAAAGGGGGTGATTACTCAGGGATGATTTGCTGAAAAGAAGACCTTTCTCTCAAACTTTAAACATGGGACTCAGTGGTAGTCAAGGACCAGAAAAGGCAGAGGGCACCAATGTGAAATGAGTGTTTGCTTTGTCCTAGGAACAGTAGAAGGTACAATGTGTTATCCATTTTCATTCTCTCAGCAACCACGTGACATAGTCCTTATCCTGTTTGACCAATAAGGAAAAACACAGACTTAAAGATAGCAGAGTACTTTCTTACTTATTTATGTATTTTTGAGATGGAGATTCGCTTATCTCCCAGGCTGAAGTGCAATGGCATGATCTTGGCTCACTGCAACCTCTGCCTCCCAGGTTCAAGAGATTCTCCTGCCTCAGCCTCCTGAGTAACTAGGATTACAGACACCTGCCACCATGCCCCACTGATTTTTGTATTTTCAGTAGAGACAGGGTTTCATCACATTGGCCAGGCTGGTCTCAGACTCCTGACCTCAGGTGATCCACCTGCCTTGGCCTCCCAAAGTACTGGGATTACAGGTATGAGCCACAGCGCCCAGCCCAAAGTGCCTTATTTACAGCAGAACTGAGATTAAAATCCAGGTCTGTCTGACCCTGAAACACATGCTGTTCTGTTTTTTCCCTTTTTTTTGTTTTTACCTCTCATCACAATGCAGGATAGACCTGCTTTTTAAAGTTTATTTCATTGCTTTTCAGTTGTGGCATGTGGAAAACACAGCTGGGATAAAATGAAAAGGATTTGGTGCATAACTTTATCACTTCCAGATACGTGAGCTTGTCCCCACTCAGTCTCAGTTTCCTCATCTTAAGATGAGAGCAAATCTCTTGTTTTATCTTCCTGTTTGGTTTAGCCATAAATAAGAGTTTGTGAAAAGACATTGTTATGTAGATATAAATTATGTAAAGCTTACATAGTTGACTGATCAAAAAAATTAGCCAGGCGTGGTGGTGCGGACCTGTAGTCCCAGCTACTCGGGAGGCTCAGGTGGGAGGATCACCTGAGCTTGGGAAATCAGGGCTGTAGTGAGCTATGATTACACCACTGCACTCCAACTGGGGTGATAGAGTGAGACCCTGTCTCAAAAATAATAAAAGTAATAAATTCATTGATTTCTGTTTTATTTCTTCTAGCCGAGTTGAACTGAAAAGATTGTGTGAGATTTTCACCCGGATGTTTGCTGATCCTCATAGCAAGGTAAGTCTGGAAGTCATGCCTGCCTTATCTTCCCCCCTGCATGTCTGTGTGCTCTGTGTGATATACTACCCAAGAATGAGAGAAAATTCCCTGTAGGGCAGTTCCGACCTTACAGAGTAACACCAGTTTCAGCACTAGTTTATGTTACACCTTTTAAAAACAGAATCCTTGGAAACTTAAATGTGCATAAAATTTAAAGTTAAATAAGTGTGCTTCAAGTAAGAGTTATCAGGGAGAGAATCAGATGGTCTTTCTTATATTTTTGTATGTCTCCCGTTAGCCAAACAGTGAGGTAGGTGCTACGGTATAATATTATGTTATAATGTCATGCATGTTTTGATGTTAGAGTAATGAAGAAAAATAAGTATATAATTATTTTTGTATCAGTATATCCTCATAGGACAAGATAGAAAAATGAAAGTATTTAATTTAATGGATTTATTGGAAAACCAGGTTATTTCTTAAAATAGGATTTTGCCGTTCCCAAGAACTTGCTGAGTGGTGATCACTTAGCTGGTGCCCATAGCTCCTGAGGGCCAAAGGGAACACTAAGCCCGAGGAATGCTTTTTTTTTTTTGACAAGAGAGTCCCAGCTGAGGGGGAAACACCAATGAGTACGGGACAGAACACTTTCCAGGGTGAGAGAGGGACCCTTTACAAAAGTTTACTTGGAGTCTAGATTTTAAATAAATACCATTATTTGGGAGAAGACCCATAGAGACTATCAGATACTTTTAAAGGAAAAAAGTGGAGAGCAGGGTGAAAATATAGGGAAAGGGGTAAAGGACAGAGGTGAAGTACAGAAATGGATAGAACCTTAAATAAGCAGCAGATCTTTAATGCTGACATGCAGGATTAACTACAGTTTTCCTAGTAAAGATGGTCTCCTTCAAGTCTTGCCGGAAGAAAGAAACCTGTGATGGCCAGAAAGTCCAGCCAGTTATTATCCTTGAAATATGAAACATTGATCCACCCATTCGTTCACCCAGTCATTTAACATTTACTGAGTACCTGCTCTGGGGTAGGGATACAGAAAGCAAGATATGGCTCCAGCATTTTGAGGTGCTCATGAGAGCAAAGGGGAGCGAATGCAAGGGTTCTCCTCCCCTCCTCCCACAGCAGCTCTCCTCGCTATCAGTCTTGAAGCATGTCTTAAATTTTCTGCGATGACCCTCACAGCAAAGTCAACATTAACAATATTAATAAAAATTCCCCAGGCGCTCATGCCTGTAATCCCAGCACTTTGGGAGGCCAAGGCGGGCAGATCACTTGAGGTCAAGAGTTCAAGACCAGCCTGGCCAACATGGTGAAACCCTGTCTCTACTAAAAATACAAAAAATAGCTGGGCATGGTGGCATGTGCCTGTAATCCCAGCTACTCAGGAGGCTGAGGCAGGAGAATCACTTGAACCTGGGAGGTGGAGGTTATAGTGAGCTGAGAATGTGCTAGTGCACTCCAGCCTGGATAGCAGAATGAGTCTCAATAAAAATCCAAGAAAGACTGAGCCTAAAGGCCACATAGATATCCAAAGATAAAATTTATCAAGATTTTTCTCTACGGTAGTGTTAAAAGCAGTAAGATTTAATGCATAAGCATAATTAGAGTCTTAAGATTTATAACGTAAGAGCTATTAGATGGTTTAGGACATTGATAAATTTCTGTTACCTGTCACCCCTAGATTGCCGATTCAGAAGCAGAATGTGAGGATAAAGAAGGAAATTTGTTTCCATCAGAAGTCTGTTGTACAGTGAGTTTGGAGGTCTCAGTTTAGTTATTATTTTTTAGCTGCCTGTAAGCTAAGCCAGGAATCCCATAGCCAGGGCTGAATGACCTTTTTCCTGAGCTGTCTCACAGGCGGCCCCTGGTGGTGAATAGTTGCTGTGCTAGAAATGAGCTGGTAGAAAGTAGAACAAGTTTCATTAACAAGGTAGGAAAACATGCTCGCTTCAGCAGCACATATACTAAAATTGGAATGGTACAGAGAAGATTAGCATGGCCCCTGCGCAAGGATGACATGCAAATTCGTGAAGCGTTCCATATTTAAAAAAAAAAACAAAAAACCAGGTAGGGAAACTCAGTGCTACTTTTCTCTCTGAAATTGGTTCAGAGGTATTCCCCTATGGACTCTATTTCACCTAAGCAAAAATCATTACACAACAGCGTGAGAATTATGTTAATATATTTTATTCTAAGCTGTAATCATCTATTACTTTATAATATCTGAAATAGGCATACATCAAAATGTCTGCTGTGAAAAGCAGCAGCTACACAATAGTGAGTAGTTGTTTTTATTAGCTCATTTTATAATAGCGTTTGGTGACTGTTAGTGAATAAGAATAGCATTAGGACGAGGATTTGTTGTTTAAGAAAGAAAACCTTCAGGATTAAAATAGTTAATTTCTCTCTGTACTGCCTTTTAAAGGCTTATATTGAGGGAGGAGAGAATATTTCATCCGTTTGTAGTCTTTTCAGGTTTTCTTTAAAAAAAAAACGCATGAAAATTGTATTAATTCACTGCCAACTAACATGGAATTTGTTTTGTTGCATGGCCTGGTTTGCGGTGGAATTCACAACAGAGAGTAAGTTCCATTTCTTTTTCCTTTGTTTTCTGCACTACATTTTCCTTCTGTGCTATGAACAGTCGTTAACAGGGTTAACCTAAGTTACAAGAGGCTGGGCAAAGCACGCATGGTCATTTTGAATGTTTTGTAGGCTTTGGAGGAAATTGTGAATTCAACATATGAAGTACTTGGTTTTCATTTGTGTCTAGGTTTTCAGTATGTTTTTGGAGACTCTTGTGGATTTTATAATAATTCATAAGGATGACTTGCAAGACTGGCTTTTTGTTCTTCTCACACAATTACTTAAGAAAATGGGAGCAGATTTACTTGGATCTGTGCAAGCAAAAGTCCAGAAGGCTCTAGATGTCACCAGGTAAGTGTTTAAGGGTTAGGTCCATTTTGACATTGCAGTACTTGTAGGTAACTTTTTGCCATGGCCTTTGTCACACACTTGAATATCTGTTACTCAGTTCTCATGTTCTTTTGTTGACATATTTGTTGATATCCCAGCAATCCATGAGATGAAATACCATATCATCCTTGTGTTGATATTACTTTTGTATTTAAGACATATGTAATAAACAAATGTAAAACTTTAGAACCTCACTTCTCATTAAAAAACATTTAAAGAGAACATTTAGAATATTTGTTTACATTTTTCTGAAGACCTTAGTATTTTTATTACTTCAACTTACAAGTCATACTAGAGATTTTTTTTTTTAATCAGTGTATCATGTGGAAAAGTCTAAATTGATAGTACATTGGCTCAGAGATTTGCACATTTGCAGTAGTTGTGACACTTCTAGCTTTTATGAGAAAAGAAAAGCTGCCGAAGCCCAGGAAAGTTAGAAAAAACTACATGCTGCTGCTCTCTAGAAAACTCTTCTCTATTGTCTATGCAGTTGTGGGTCCTCAGCATGCAAGTTTAAGAATTAAAAGATCTCAGAAGACACTTTACAATAATGTCTTGGTTGTGATTTGATGGAAGATGGAGGGGGGAATGTCAAATTGGTGAGCTTTTTTAAAGAACAAAGAAATAACTTACAAATCACTCATAAAATTATCAGGGCAATTACTTTTATAAGTTGCTACAAACTGAAATAATTCTAGCTATTATAGAATTTCAAGATAGAAGGACCTTAAAGGTGATGTTCATTTTATCAGTGAGAAACAGACATCTTGCCTTAACTTTGTGTTAGTGGCAGTTTAGGAACCAAAATCCAGGATTTCTGATGTTTGCTCTGTTGTCTGTTCCTGTTGTTGCAGGCTGTCTTGTGGGTGTGTGTCCTCATGTCCTGTGGAGACAGAGGGTGGTACAGATAGCACTAGAACCTAGAACCTTCTCTTTCTGGCTCCCTTGACTAGCACAATAGCACATCCTGCCCTGCTGGCCATCCCTATGCATGCAGCTGTTACTTGACTCTGACTTCAGAGTATGCATGTGTTCCTCTACACTATGATGCCAACTGTTTTCTTATGGCCCTTGACCCTGTCAATCTGTGTAATTGCATTGCTATAGAATTCTATTATCTAGAGAGATTTCCCTTCTGGTTTTCAGTGAACTCAAAGTAATGTACTTGCATCTGTTGGTGAGGCCATAAAAAAGAAGTAATAATAAAATAAATAAAATTAAAGTAACATACTACATTTGCAATAAAGCTTGGAAACTTCGTCATTCCTTTGCATGGTTAATTTTAGTGGAGTTAGGGAGCATTGCAGTACACCATTATACCAATGGATTATAAAGGTGTAGCCCAGATTGACTGAGGGCCTAGGCTGATAAGCTGGTATCATTAAGTGGAGTAGAGAGGAGGGTTATTGATAGGCTGGGGCCACTTGTGGCCATGTTGGGACATGGGCTCAGTAGTACCAGACTTTTCAAGAAAGATCAGAAATGTGGATTTGGGCACCATATTTGAGAATTTTTTAAGATACTATGAAGGCCAAATAAAACACACGTAAGCCAGGCTTGGCCTATAGATCGCTTAATTAGGGTGAATGTACCAATGACCAGATCCACTTACATTTTTGAGAATGGTAGGAGTAGTAAGATTATATTCCTAAACTTTGATGATTAAGGAATACAGTCATGACCTCCTGTTAGTTTTCCTTTAAGAGTCGTAATCTCAGTAGATTTGGTCTGAGTGCCTAAAGCATTTTTAACATTCTCTTCTTTTTCTCCGCAGTTGAGATGCACAGCTCTTTAAGCTGATCTAGAATCAGTCAGTGACTATTAATAGGAGGTTTTAGTGATGGCTGAGAATTGCTTCTCGGTTTATAGACTTGAGTGCTAATCTGCCTCAGTTTCCTTTCCTTTGGCTGTACCTAACAATGGCATGTTTCCTGATGATACATACCCATTATTGAAATGTATTCTCCATCCACCCCATGCTGCCAGAAGAAGGGAGAGATATTTTGTGTGTGGTTGTTGACATAGTCACTTAAATCATCTATACTAAAGTATACTTTCCTTCTCAAAGTGATCTTCAAATATTCCAAGATACAACTAGATGGTGGGAGGAAGGGGTACTATTGGATCAAGTTTACTTTTTATTAATAATTATAAGGATGATGACACTGGTACCTAATATGTGCCATGTGCTTTTTATTTTTGTTGTATGATTTTATTTACTTTTCAAATCAATTCTATTTGCTTCGTTTTAGAGAGTCAAACCTGTTTCTTTACTTATTTTACTATATTTATGTAGATTGGGAAAAATCTCTAAGAGAGTCCAAAGAAAGTAATGTAGATATTTGCCTTGCATTTATCTTTCCTGTGAATATGGAAATTATATCACCATTATCCACATGGGGCTCCATTGTGCAATTTTAAACTAATACTAGTAATTACAGCATTTTAACAGAAAGAGCACTGACTCTCTGGCTGAGAGCCCGTGAGGGTTACTTGATTGGATCACAGATGCATGATGACCACAAGAAATAAGATCAGTAACAGGCAAGAAATGGATCAACAGAAGGGGCTCCTGGGACTCCAGGCTTCTGTGTGTGAATTGTAGCTGGACGGGACATGTTTTGTCGCCGTCTCACAGGCATTGTTCTGTGGTATACAGGGACCCTAAGCAGTGACCAGGACCAAGGATGACAATACAGTTTAGTCAGGGTTAGCCGTAAGCAGCCCAGTCAGGATGTAAAAATGAGATTTGGGTATCAGAAGTGATTTTTATGTTTAATCAATATCCAGAAAGGTAGCTGGAGGGAAAATGAGCAAATCTCTAGAAAGGCAGGTAGAAATTTCTTCCTTAGTTTATTGCTTAGTCTTAATTTTTTAAATAGCCATTCAGAGTAAGTTCAGTTTATGTTTGGGGATTTGAAACAAGATTTTCCTTGTTCCAGATTTTCTGTATAACATGTATTACTTTACATAAAATGAAAAGCACTATTTATTAAAAATGTGAACAGGGTTTTACATATATTAATCTATAATGGTATGCTTTTGTTAAATAGTTTGACATTGTTTTGTAATAAATTTCTTTAAAAATGAGCACTTTTCCACCCGCCCCAACCTAGGGACTCCTTTCCATTTGATCAACAATTTAACATTTTGATGAGATTTATTGTGGATCAAACTCAAACTCCAAACCTCAAGGTCAGTAATTATTTGTCATTACAATTCAATCCTGGAACTCAAATTTGCTTAAAGTTACTTTTGTTTATACTTGACTCATGTTTAGCTATTGTGAATAAATCTGCTGTGACATTCCTGTTTGATTCTTTGTGGATATGTTCCTGTTTCTCTTGGTTAAGTACCTAGCAGTGTACTTGCTGGTTCATTGGGTAGGTATATGTTTAGCTTTATAAGAAATTTCTAAAATGGTTGTACCATATTGTATTTCTACCAGCAGTGTGTGAGAGCTCTAGTTTTCCTACATCCTTACCAACATTTGGATAGTACTAGTCTTTTGCACAAGTAATATTTAAACTAGAAAATTAAGACATTCTAGTGTGTAGAGATAGGTATCTTATTGGAATATTTAATACTAACGTTCTAAGATGTGAAAGTTAATTGTTACACGTTATGGAAAATCTTACCTATAGTAACAAGACCAAATTTGAGGGAGGATGTGTGTTTATTTGAATTAGGTCACGTCATCATCTATTCTTTGATCATTAACTTTTTGGAGGTTTTAGGATGAGCCTAATAAATAATTACCTTTTTCTCCTGAGGTCAGAACGAGTTGAGAAGTTGATGGTAAAGTTAGGGCAGAACATGAGCTGGATTACTGAAAGTGCTGCCTTATAGAACATGGCTTAGAATGTGTGGCAGAACTAGAGTTGAACCTGCCCTGTGGTCAGTGGCAGAGCTAGAAATCCCGTGGGCTCCTGCCCTGGAAGTGTCTTGCAGCATAGATGAGGAGCAGAGCATGCTTCTCTACAGGCACCTAACAATGAAGAAGACTGAACCATGTGCCCCTTCCCGTCCCTTAACTTACCCATCAGTCATTTCATGCTTTTCCCCTGTTAGATGTTGCTCCATGTGGAAACAAATCCAGGAGAACAGAAGGAGGTTCTCCTCAACAGGGTTTACTTTTCTCTGGTACCTGATAAGAATTCTTTTCAAAGATTCATCACGTGTACTTAATGTTTATAATTATTGGCTCTTTCAGGTCAAAGTTGCAATCCTGAAATATATTGAGTCTCTGGCCAGACAGATGGATCCAACAGATTTTGTAAACTCTAGTGAGACAAGGCTTGCTGTTTCTAGAATCATAACCTGGACAACAGAACCAAAGAGTTCAGACGTGAGAAAGGTATGTCCAAGAGAGCTGATGTGTAATTATAGACTGTTCCTGGGCTTGTGTTAGTGAAATATATTTAGAAACTTACAAACCACACCACTCACCCACAAACTTTTGTCACTAAGGCTCTGCTGTTGCCCTTTTCTCTCTCCGGCTCTGCCTAGTTTTGAATATAAAAATGAAAATCTGAAATGTTGCACGATTGGCTTATGGTTTTCCCAGGCATCTATTTTATGTATTTTGTAATACGAAATCACTAGTAAATTAGTGCCTTTTACACAGATGTTTGTTTTCCTTATATCAGTTTGTAATATGTACTTTAAAGATTAAATTGCAGAGGGCTAGCTGGCTGCAGGGTCCCTGATCGTAAAATGTGGTTGAAAAGCTTAATAAGATGTAATAGATTCTTTAAAAAGAGCAAACATCTTCCAATATGTGGCACATAAGTATGCATGTGATATGTGAGTATGTGCTTTTGCAAAGGAATGTTACTTAAGTATTGCCTGCTATGGGTTGAAACATGTTTTAGATTCACATATTACCTCAATTAGGGCCTGTGTGGGACAAACTAGCTTTGATCTTAATGCCTACTCTCTGTGGACATGCACATTAGAATATTTGAACTAGGACTTGTTGTCCTTACTGTTCTAATCAGAACATTACATACAATTTCAAATTATCAGCCAGAGGCTCCAAAAACCTCAATTTATTTTAATCCTAGCTCAAGCCAAATATAAATAGGAAATTAGATTTATTGCCAGAAATCACTTCGTTCATTTACTGTTTGAATGAGCTTCAACGCTTGTTTCCAGTTATTTTGGATTATACAGTGTTACTTCACAAAGCTTTGTCTCCGCTGCCATGCTGCTTTCCATGCCTGCCCCTTCTTCTCCTTGCCCATTGTGAGGTCTGCTTAACTCCTCACCTTGACACCGAACTTACACTCAGGTTCTAGGACAATGATCTTGATCTTCAGAGGAGTTTGAGAAGATTTAGATTAAGTTCACAGTCCTGGCTGCAATTAAAATCGATGTCGATTTCTGAGTTCTGTTCTCAAGTAATTTGATTTAGTTGGTATAGGGTAGAGCCTAGACACTCTGTTGTTTTTCTGATTGGGGCTTCTTTCACTCATGACTGATTTTTCATGCAGACAAGGCCCAGGATTTTGGGCCATGGCCCTGGAATGAATCTCAAGACATACACACTGCTGATACAGTGTTGATCTGGTTGCTGCAAGTTCCCTTGCTACGCAGTGTTGCTTCACAGTATCTTCAGGACTAGGCTTGGCCTCTCTGTTCCCTGGCATCTTCCCCACCTCCCTCCTACCTTGTACCTAGAGTTCTTGTGCTTCCTCTAAACCCATTCTAGTGGTTAGGGCCCTGTTACCCTGGGCACCTTCCTCAAACTGATGGAATACCTGCCTGGCTTTCTGTATATTGTCAGCTCAGTGCACTCTGTATTGATCATAGAAAGCTTCCTAGAGAAGACAAGATTCATCCTCAGATGTGGAATATGGATGCAGTTTGCGTAAGTGATGAGTTTAGGGGAGGGACAGTAGTCATGTGTAAGAAATGAGGTTTGTCTGGAACAGTGAAATAGACTGAAGCAGAGGGTTTGGGAAGCTGAGCAGTAAGGAGAATGTTTTACTCACTCTGCATGCTCAGTGCCTGGCATACACCTGGAGTAACATAGTAGGCTTTAATAGATATTTTGAATGAATTAATGAATGATAAACACCCATATGGAAATGATTTCACTTCAAATGATACTTGAAGCCATCATTTTTTAAACTATAGTTTTGAAAGTTTCCTTCTTTTGACTTCTTTATTTGTTATCTATTGTATAACAAACTTCTACTTATTTAGCTTGAAACAAGACAGATCTATTATCTCACAGTAATAAATCGGGAATCTGGCGTATGTTCTCTGGGCCTTCTGATTAGTGTCTCAAAGACTGATATCAAGATGTCATTTGGATCTGCAGTCTCATATGAGGCTGAGGTCTTCTTCCAACTCATTGGCTCTTGGCAGATTCCAGCCTCTTACAGGTGTAGAGCTGAGCTGCCTGCTTTCTTGCTGAATATCAATGGGGAGCCATTCTCAGCTAGTAGAGGCTGCCAGGAAGTTTGCTTGTTTAAAGCCATTGGTAGAATATATGAAGAAATAATATCTAAGAAACTCCCCAAATTTGATGAAAAACATTACCCATCTAAGTAGCCCAACAAACTAAGATTTTTTAATAAAAGGATCCACTACGCAGACACATCGTATCTAACTGTTGAAAGCCAAAGAGAGAGTCCTGAAAGAGCAGGAGGGGGCAACTCATCCCATGCACGGGATCCTTGATAAGACTATAAGCTCATTTCTCATCAGAAACCACAGAGGACAGAAGGGAGTGGACGACATTGAAAGGGCTGAAAGACAAAAAGCTGTCAGCCAAGAATTCACTATTTGGCAAGACTCTTCTTCAAAAACAAAGGCGAAATTAAAACAAAGCCAGCCATAGAATCTCTCTCATTTTGAATCTCTCTGATGCCTTTTAAGGACTTGCCTGATTAGGTCAGGCCCACCCAGGATAATCTCCCTTTGGATTAACTCAAAGTCAACTGATCAGGGGCCTAAATTGCATTTTTGAAAATCCCTTCTGCCACGTAACACAATCATGGGAGTGATATCCATTATATTCACAAGTCCCGCTCACTCTGAGGGTGGGAGGGATTATATAGGGCACAATACATTTTGGAGAATCTTGGGGGTCATCATAGTGTCTTGACTACCAGGGCTTTGGTGTCTCTTTTAGTGGGTTGGCAGAAGGCTTCGTAGTTACTTGATAATTCCCTCGCTCTTATTTTAGGAGGGAGCTTTTTTACCTATCTCTGCAAATTGTGATACGGTTCAACTTACTTATCAGATGCATGTCTGTATTCTGGCACCCCCTAGATTTTTTTTTTTTTTTTTTTTTTTTTTAAATCATCCAAGATGTTTGTGTCTTCAAACTATTTGGCTTTCAGTAGGCATTCAGCGCTGACTAGTAAAGCATTACTATTTGATTCAAATAGACATATCATAGCATAGTATTAGAATAGATGTGCTCAAACTCTACGTTAGGACACTGTAGATTAATCTTTTTTGGAGGTATATTCACTTTTATTTAAATTCCCTGTTTTGATGTACTATCCATTGGACATTTATAAATATAGTTGCTTTTGTAAGTGATGCAGCTGCCTTACCCAAGAATATGAGATGTTCTTGAAGCATTGTCAAAATGAATGTAGTGCCTAAGCAAATTAAAATACTTAGAAATTGTGATATACTATGTATCACTGTTCTAAGATCTAAAATTATCATTACCATTTTAAAGCTGTATAAAAATAAAACTAGGACCATTCCTATCTAGCTAATTTAACACACTAAATGTAAAATACATGTCTGTATAATAAACTTTGTTCTGCCTCATCCTTCATTTCCAGAGTTTTTTAAGGTTATATCAGGGATTATGGAAATCTTGGTGATTTTTAAAGCATGTTGTGTTCTTAAACCAAGTTCTGTTAATGTCCTGCTTTAATTGTTTTAGGGTAGGGTTATATTCTAAATGCAGAAGAGCCCTCCAGTCTGAAATGTATACAGTAAATTCTCATGTTAGACTCATCTCTAGAGAATATTTTATGTAAACAGTACCTGAGGACTTTTTCAGACAACATCATTCACTCTCTAAGTCCATACAACTATATTTGTGAAAGCCCTTTTGAAGCATTTTAGACAGATACAAGTTGATATAGCCCAAATTCATTGACTTTAGCTTTTTTAAATATTTTGTTTTTCTTCTTAGCTCAGTATGTCGTGGTGTTTCACATTGTGGTGGGAGGGGTGCTTAAATTGTTAAGATGTTTTTAAAACCAAAACACAGTCACCCATGAGGTGTGCTTACCTCACTGAGACTGGTTTGGACAAGATGAAAAAGCCCAACCCAGTCTATAACTGCCCTGCTTTATTCCAAAAGTCAACTCTTCCATTTCCTCATTGTGGGATCCCTGACTGGTTTAGTTGTATGATGTAACTATGCAGACGTACACTAGCCTTTCTTAATGCACCTTGTTGACGTGAGGTAATAAAATATATTACTGATAGAAAGAAGGTGGATTCTGGAGTTTGACCTCCATTTGATTTCTGCCTCTGCCACTTAATTATATGTTTATATTTTGGAATTTAGAATGCCTGTATGTTTGCTTATCATATGTGATTCTCTTTGTCAAATGAAGCAAAAGATTTAGCCCCCAAACCTTGTTTTAAGAAGTGTGGGCAGTGAAGGCATGGCAACGAAACCTAGAATTATAAAGATGCTGTTGGCTAGAGGAGGGAGAAGTATTACTATATAAATAGCCTTGAAAAGGTAAGATTTCTAATTGACTTTTTAAAAATACATGATTATAAAGGCAGCATGCCTCTATTCTGAAAGCTAAGGGTTTTACTATCAAATAACTGAATCTCAGCTTAACTGTGACTGTGAGTCTTTTTCAAGTCTTTTGTTGTTGTTGTTATTGTTGAGATGGAATCTCGTTCCGTCACCCAGGTTGGAGTGCAGTGACACGATCTCGGCTCACTGCAACCTCCACCTCTGGGGTTCCAGTGATTCTCCTCTGTCAGCCTCCTGGGTAGCTGGGATCAGAGACATGTGCCACCATGCTCAGCTAATTTTTGTATTTTAATAGAGATGGGGGTTTCGCCATGTTGGCCAGGCTGGTCTCGAACTCCTGCCTCAGGTGATCTGCCCGTCTCGGCCTCCCAAAGTGCTGGGGTTACAGGCATGAGCCGCGGCACCTGGCCTCTTTCAAGTCTTGTTTTGACGTCTTCCATTTCATCACTTGAAGCAAGAATACTACTTTCAGGATTATTAAGTAAAAGACCTAATGATACTACTGAGGGTTAAAACTGGTGGCTACTGTTAATATTCTGATTCTTCCTAGCTTTCAATCACGTGTGTCTCACTGACTTTATCTAAGAAGCCAAATGCTTTTACAGCTAACAGATTGCCATGGTTAGGCACTTTCTGCTTCTCTCTGATTCAATCCTCCCACCTTTCCTGTTTGCCAGTCCTCGCTTCAGCGTAGTCGAGTAGGTGAGGATTTCCCCACTAGGTCAGCTTCAACCTGCTCTGGGCCTGGAGAAGGAAACTTGGAAGAAAGTTGTAAACAGGTAGATTGAAAACTGTGTACTAATTTCAAACAGCACACTTCACTGTTTGCTTTTTAGATTATTAATACCAGCTGCCCTTGAGAAGGCACTGGGAAGCTTTTGAGAAACCTAAAATTAATACTATATGAGTGTGTATATGTGTGCCTGTGTCAATGGTGGTGTGTTTTATGATTAACTACATTCTCAGTGGAATAGCCATGTTTGTGTCAACAAATACCATATTTTAACAGAAGAGTAAAAAGGAGAGATAGTAGGCTGGCACAGTGGCACATGCCTGTAGTCCCAGCTACCTGGGAGGCTGAGGCAGGAGAATTGCAGGATTTTCAAGGCTGCAGTGCACAGTGATCA